GTAATGACTGATGTCAAGATTTGAACTTGTTCTTACTACTTCACCTAGAAATTACCGAAGGCTGAACTTCTGTCGATAAATTATCCATAATTGCTGCTCTAATCAGTTAGTTTTCAAATGCATTGAAGGTGAGCACAAATCAACAATGTGAATTTTAGCGTCTTGTCCAAATGCTGGCAAACGAATCGCTTACCTTCATAAAGATACAGTTTAAAGCACATTTCGCTTCAATGACACTGTCTTTAACATGTGACCAATCAAAATTGCGTATGGAAGGAAAATTTTATAGCGATCTAATATATTGATTATGTGCGTTACGAGTGTTTTCTCTGTCATTTCAGCAATTTTTCCAGAGTTACCTCGTGCTTTATCTTTAGTTCATCTTGTGTTTTTTCCAGGTGCATGATGTACGCTACGATCGAGCGGGTTCAAGTCTTTCGTAACCCATTCCGTACATCTCGTCGATCTGTAACCCCACGTTTCCTTGCGATCATCGCTCTAATCGTTATTGGAGCACTAACAGTCACAGCACCAAAGTTCATGAAACGCTCTGATATTTCACCCAGCATCAAAACTATCTTGGTAAGTTACTTTCATGACTCGCTTTGCTTGCACTTTGTTTGTAAAGGACTTCTTGGCTAGCTGTCGCTAATAACCACGAAGTGATGTCTCACGGCTTCCTGTGCCTGCATTACGTATGAAAGCCGCATATGTAAACAGCACAATACGTAAATCATGAATTTTTCAATGAAAAGGGCAGACTGGGAAAGCTATCTGAATATTGTCTTATCCAATATAATGTCGTAACTGGGAAAACGATGCCAAGAAAAGATTGCAGTTTGAAAGTGATCGTAGAAAGGAGGTAAAGAAAATTTGTTTATTTATTATAAATTAGGCACGTCAGCATACAGTAGACAAATTGTGATTACAAATAAATTTCCACAAATGTTTTTTCAACGAATTAATTCTCAAGGAGATTTTGAACTTTCTCTAGAGCTAAATAAGGAGAGAAAACAGCTGTGGCCGTTTCCATTAATGGCCTGACGTAATGTCTATAGGTTTTCAGTAAGAGATACATCATATGAGCGGGGTGCTTTGAAAAGATTGTATTTTTGGTGTAATCCTTTTTGTATCAAAAGTCTATAGTGCGAATCAAAGTTTGAAATGTCATAATATAGAAAGCGCATACCTGCACTACATCGAGCGTCATACTATTGGGGGTGTATTTAGCTCCAATGGAAAAGTTACCAATTCGCATTACATGGGTTGTATCACTTGAAATCGGAAGCCTATCATTCAGAGACCATGCAGAAACTATATTGATGCTTAAAAATTATTTTCAATACCACTAGAGGCACTATAAATCTTGAGATCATCAGCAAATATGTTGAAGGTGATATTTAATGCTTCCAACAGTTGAATAAGATGGGTGATAGAACTCCCCTTTGAGAAACACTGCTGGCAGCTTCACGAACTCATGAAAAATTACTTTTGATTACTAATTGGAAGGGTCTATTGCTAATAAAATCATCAATCCCACATACCAAAGGATGGAAGCCATAGCGCTTCAATTTTAGGAGTACAGTGTCGTGTGGAACTTTATCAAATGCTTTTTGAAAGTTGAAATAAACTACATCAATCTTTTTTTTAAAGTCGAGTAGTTTAGCCGTTAAGTGACCGAAGCAGCGAGGTCTCTACAGACGTCCTCTTTGTAAAACCGTGTTGAAACAAAGGGATGAGGCTGTTTTGCTTACGTGGTTTATCAAATAAATTTTTAAGAAGATTTTCAAAGATTCGCGCAAGGTTAGGCTTATTGGTCTATTGTTTTGCGGATTACAGAGTGGCTCCTTTTTGGGTAAGGGAAGAGCAAATGCATGTTCCCACTTTTCGGGACTCCACTTCGCATTAAGCTAAGGTTGAAAATGAATTCGAGTGGGACAGTGATTTCGTAGGCACAATTCTTTTGATATGATGGAAGGTAAATCATCAG